AACGTCCACAGCCTTTCCCTCATCCACGAGGTGGCAACTGAATGGTAACCTCATGGAAAACTTAGTATTTTTTACATTTGTTCACTGATCCTGTGCAAGAGCTGGAAGTTTCAACATGCAGGAAAAGAGTCAACAAAAACCCTGAACACCCAAAACATCTTTCCCTTTCATAATAGCTCTGTCAGTTACTCTTTTGTAAAGCAATCTGATTCTAAATGTCATGAACACAAGGCTTTTCTGCAGAAACAACTTTCTATGTAGCCAAGCACTAGTAAATTCTATTAATCTAAATTGTGATTACAATTGTAACTCTGTCTTTGTGACAAAGGACAATAGAGTGAAAACAAATCGTAAGAGGGAAAGGGTACTACCCGTTGTTCCTGTATATTATAATCCGAACTAAAGGAATACGCTTTAAGTGTCACAGTGATACAATAATTTCTTCTGTTTAGGGTCCTATTGGTGAACAGGGCAGTCCTGGCATCCCAGGTCCATTTGGCCCTCGGGTGAGTAGAATGTTTCAGGTTTAAGGTTTCTCTTGCTTGTTTTTTTCCACAATCAAATTTCTATTTCTGATTCACTTTTATTTCACTGGCTTTTATTGACTTCAGTATCATGTGGTGATTACCCTACTGTCTTTTGCTGAGAGACGTTACCTTGTTTAATATAGTAAAGCTTTGACATAAGTGTAGTTTACAGCTATATAAAAAGCTCAATTCAGAGTAACTACATGGCTACAGTCTCTTTTTAGAGACACTTTTGCAGCAGCTGATGCAAAGCCACATATGTGGCAGCTCTGCTAATTGCTACTCTGCCTTTCATAACCCCATGGATGTCATTCACCCAAGAGTAAAGGAGAAATATGACTCCCTTGGATGTTCCCAAGTGACAGTGTATCTCTGAGCCCATATACATGTCGGCATACAGCAGCTACTCCAGTCTGCGTAGCACCTGGAATTGAACCCACTTAAATGGTCTAGAAAAACCCCATACAGCTGAGGCAATTGACTTCAGAAGAACAGCATTGAAATTGCCATCTTACTTTCAAAGAAGAAAAAGGGTGATTTTTAAAAGTTTGGTAATAGACACAAATAATTGGATTGCTTCCTCAAAAGATACTGCTTGTAAAGGGCTGTTTTATAGAACTTTGTTATTAAATGCTAAAATACATTCCTTCCTTCTCTTACATTTTCTAGGGTCCTCCAGGTCCAGTCGGTCCTTCTGGCAAAGATGGAAGTCCTGGTCCACTTGGGCCAATTGGACCTCCTGGTGTTAGAGGGAGTGTAGGAGAAGCCGGACCTGAGGTAAGTTGATGGGAATACAAAGGGAAAAGGTTACTTCAAATAGTGAGATTTTTTTACAGTCCATTGCATCACTTTCTCAAACATCCATGAGCTCAAGACAAATGGTAACATTTGGTGCAGTTTCTCCAACAAATAGCCAGGGTAACTGTGTATTGGAAGGCTTATTTCTTACTGGACCTGTGAAATCTCAGTCTCATCCACCAGTGCTCTCCTTAGGCCAGCCTGGGGCTACGTCTGGAGTTAGCACTGGATCCTGCTGGATCTGCAGTTCAACATGGCTATTTGGCAAGTTGGGTCCTAAAACCTCAGGCCTAAGCATAGGTCAGTTGGTGTATCTGGAACCAGCAGTAGTTAGAAGTCAGTAGTCCTGACTGTCAGCAGAGGTGGCACTGAATTAGAACAGCCATGTGACTGCCAGCAGCGTACTCCATCGTGCCTTGCCTTAAGGAAATCCTTCAGTCCAAATGAACAGCCCAAACTCGAACACTCAGCTCAGCTGCCCTTCAGCCATCATCTGAGGTTTACAGATCATCTGAGATTTACAGACATCAACTGTGAGCTGATTCACAGTAATGAAAAATAGTGTGACCGTTTTAGAAAAAGTCCTAAACCTTTGCTAAACGCCCCGGGCATGTTCTACGTTTACCAATTCACGACACCCTAAGGCATAAAATGTAAGTTATGTTATCCCAAGGAAGATAAGTTAGGAAATTAGAGGAATTTGAGAAAAGGGTGATCTGGATGATCACGTGAAGAATTAAGACTGGTATTGCTTACTTTGGGGAAGAAGTGGAAAAGGTGGAATAAAACAATGAGCAAGACAGAGAAGGCAGTTTCTGCTGTTTTTCTATCTTGTAAGACGTGGTGTTTCCTGTGTTTCTTGTGTGCTAATATTTTCCCTATTTCATTTGAATTTCTGCCAGTTATCAGTATCTCCACTCCTGTTGAGGCACCACAACATGAATGAATAATCTATGGTAGAGCTTAAGAATGTAATGTGTATCCAGATCCTTCATCTGTGTAAGGAGACAATACAAGAAATATCTCATACCAAAAACTAGTTTTGCTTTCCATGGTGGCTTGCTGCAACTATAAATTAGAACCACAAAGCAAGAAATAAAAGTTAAGATTTCATTTGTCAGACACGGAGTGTATTAGTTTGGGTGTGTGCCCTGTAGTAAACATTTGGAGCACTAGTTGTGAATTCTGAAATAATTACTCACAAAGGAAATGCCATGTTCTGATATACCAGCTCATGCACCAGAGCATCAAAGTTACAATGAAGGTATGTTACAGACTTTCTGCAGCCAAAGAAGAGCTGGCAGAGCCTGCAGGTGGACATACATTTATTAACAGATACAGTCTGTCTCAAGACTCGGTTACCTCCCCAGGTGTCACAATTCAGGTTGACAGAAGGACCTCACAACCAGTCATTCAGGAAAACGTACTTAGTCAGGAAAACACCTGCTCTGCCAAGTAAGGACGGTGTAGATTCTGTCTCACATATCTGTGGCCAGAAGGCTTAACACTGTGCAGGATAAATGTAAAGGTATTTCTAGTGCCAAATTTCCATCCAGACTTTCTAATTGAAAATATGCCTGAGGCGACTCAAAGGAAGCAGGAATTTTACATGGCTCTAAAAATCACTTACAGCTGTTGGGAATTTTAAGAAATAAAGTTATTAGGCAGGGACTTGAACAAGCAGGGACACGTGGTTTAAAAAATGGAATGAGGAGGCCATTCCTTGATGACTTAGACTAGATATAAGGAAGAAATTTTGCACAATGAGGGTGATGAAACACTGGTGGAGGTTAGCCAGAGAGGTGGTAGATGCCTCATCCCTGGAAACATTCCAGGTCAGGTTGGACAGGGCTCTGAGCAACCTGATGTAGTTGAAGATGTCCCTGCTTATTGGAGGGTGGTTGGACTAGATGACCTTAAAAGGTCCCTTCCAACCCAAGCTATTTTGTGATTCTATGGCTTTTTCTAGTTGTTGAGTCTGAAACCAGGAGTAAGAAAAAGTTGAGCAAGATATTCAGACAGGTAGAGAGGGCATGAAGCAGAGAGAGTACCTTACATGCAGTTCTAATCTCTTACACCTGTTCTTGGAAATGTGAATTGTTTATATCTGAATCTTCTCTGTGCATTAGGGTGACTGACTGTAAAGTTCTGCTTTTTTAGTGGCTGGCTTTGCTATCATTTTGCATAGTATTTACTCTGCTGTGCCTCTGTTGCCTTTTTTATTTTATTTTTTTTAAACTTAGGGTCCACCGGGTGATCCTGGCCCTCCTGGTCCTCCAGGACCTCCAGGCCATCTCACTGCTGCCATTGGTGACATTATGGGACACTATGATGATGCTATGGCAGATCCACTGCCAGAGTTTACTGAAGATGAAGCAGCCCCAGATGACCATAATAAAACAGACCCAGGAGTCCATGCCACACTGAAGTCACTGAGCAGCCAGATTGAGACTATGCGCAGCCCAGATGGTTCAAAGAAACATCCAGCACGGACTTGTGATGACCTGAAGCTGTGCCACCCATCCAAGAAGAGCGGTGCGTATAAACACACAATCTCCTGTGTGTGCCATATGATTCTGTCTTATTTCCAGTAGATACTTGGTCACTGGAAAAAATGGGTAATATAGATTCTGATCGTCTAAATTGACATTGGGACTAGGAGCTTGCAAACTACTTCTTGCCAATGAAGTATATATGCTGATGTATCCCTTATTTATTTATTCAGTACTTATTCAGATGTATTTTAAAATCTGAAATATTTTATACTTCCATGGAACACTGCTTCTGAAAGTGTTCTCACCATGGAGTACCACTTACATGATGACAGAGCTAGCTTGGTGCACCAGTTGTGAGTATTTCTTTAATCACTATTAGCTCAAAATGTTACCTGTGGGCTGATAACCTGCGACTACTTTCCATCCAGAATTCTCTGCTGCTGCTCCATAGTGGCAATTTGTAGATGGCAATGTGCTAACGTACCATTTGAGACTTTCCCTGATTTATATGGATTACCAGCTATAAATCAGAACAGACTGGAAGGTAGAGAGAATTTGTGGCAGGCCTTACCAGCTTTTGCCAGCTCGTATCTTGAAGTAATGCTATAGTGTATATCTGACACAGACATCAAAACATGCATCAGATTATGTGAAACATATGCCTCTTTTCCTCGTGTTTTTTACTGACGTGACATACTTTTGCTTCTTTCTCTCCAGTTATTTCAAGAATCTTAATAATGTCACGAAATCACGTTTTATGTTCTTTGTAGGTGAATATTGGATTGATCCTAACCAAGGGTGTGTTGAAGATGCTATAAAAGTATATTGCAACATGGAAACTGGAGAGACCTGTATTTCTGCAAACCCGTCTACTATACCACGTAAAACATGGTGGGCCAGCAGGTCATCTGATGTAAAACCCATTTGGTATGGCCTTGATATGAACCGGGGATCACAGGTAACTAAATATACTTAATGTCAAGAACCAACTTTTATGAAACTCGTTTTGTCCTGGTTTAGAACTTCATCTGCTATCTGAGCAGCTTCTGCTGCAGTCAGAACGTGATGACTATTGTTTGATTGGCTTATATTCAATTGGTTCTTATCATACAATAATTATATGAAAGAGCTGGGAGAAACAATGCGAGTGCATCTAAGGCAGGATTGGCTTTAAGTATACCAGTGCTGGAAGAGATTATTTATCTCGATCCTAAAAACTTCAACTTCTCCAGCAGTCTACTTCAGTCACTCACTATCCTTGTCCTTAAAAAGTGTACTTTTACCCTAATATATTATTTAAATCACTGCTGTTTTAATTGAATTCTACCCTTTTTTTCAGAAAATTGTTATTTCAATTTTTATTTCATAGGGAGTAATTATATATCTTTAAAATAAGTATTTGTTGTGTAAAAGTAATAGTGCTGTTATCAGCTGGATTCCTGATGACAATTCAGAACTTCAACAGTGGAGAACAGATGTGATATTGAGAACAGATGTGTTATTGATTGCTTTTTTGAGATGCTTTCATTTATTACTAAATTCAGGAGAACTTGCCATGACCCAAGATGTCATAGTTGATATTTAGCTGCCTGCAGAGCTCCATGTAGGGTTTTTTGTAAGTCAGATGCTCTTTGGAGGAAGAAATTATCTTCAGGAACACTCTAAAAGACTATTTCATTTTTGAAAACTGTCAGATTTGGTAATTAACAGTGTTATCTGCGTAATAGTCATATGCATTCCTTACGGGTTCTAACTAATAAATATGTCCGAGATCGCTAAACAGAGATAAAAAATGACAGTGTCAGTGCATAAGATTTTCTTTTTTTCTTTACCAGTTTCAGAGAAAAGTATACACTTTTAGTTATTCATGATGCTTTTGGGTTTTTGGGTTTTTTTTAATGATTCATAAAGCATGAATAAAATGAAACCTGCACAGGTAGGGAAAATATCTCAGGAATTTTAGAGTTTTTGTTACTGGTAGTAAAGTTGCTTCTGTTTTTATAGAAAGAGTAGCATGTCACAAAATATTTTTCAAACTTCTGTGTAAGTTAATTAGTTGATAAAGTCGATATGCAAATCTATAGGTATTTTTATATAGTCAAACTTTGGCTGCTTGTGATGCTTCTAAGTAGAATACAAAGCCCATCGAAAACAAGCTGCTAAAGTTGCAATATAGCAGGCACACTGTAAAAGGGTTTCCTGTGTTTGACATCTCTTACCTAATTTGAGGTTGCTCTAATGCACTATTTCATACATAAGGTTTAGCTCCTACTGAATCCCTGGGTGAAAGAAAGCAGAAACATTCCAAAACTTGGCATGTCTGTGGAGGCCCCACTGCCTTTGAGTGGTTCAGCTGCAGAGCTTTATGGTCAAATTCTCCAAAATGATCCCTATTACAGGATGTCTACATTTCTTCATCCTCAACTGGCAACAAGTTACAAAAGAAACCATTCTTAGATTTTATGCAATAGGGCTCCTGCTAGTCATGTCTGGAAAGGGTTACGGTAATGACAGATGTTTCTAAAACACATGAACTCTTAATGAATTTTCACATAATACACATTGATCTGTTTCTTTATCTTCACAGTTTGTGTATGGGGATACAGCTGTCACTCAGATGACGTTCCTGCGCCTCCTATCAAAGGAAGCTTCCCAGAATATCACTTACCTTTGTAAAAACAGTGTTGGGTACATGGATGACCAGACTAAGAACCTGAAAAAAGCTGTAATTCTGAAAGGGGCCAATGACCTGGAGATCAAAGCGGAGGGAAACAGCCGATTCAGATATACTGTTCTGCATGACAGCTGTTCTGTAAGTTTGGCTTTTTGGTCATTTGTTACAGAGAAGGACTTTTGTCTTCTAATGCTTTCAGTTCTTCCTTCATTTAGAAAAAATCCATAGAATGGGGTAATTAAAATGCTGCAGAATTTCACCATGAATTGTAGAAGTAACTGATCAAATAGGTATTTTACTACAATTCTAGCTTCACATAGTAGAAGTCTGCAGTATTTAGAGGATGTTTACAAATTACTAGTTAGTAGTGAGCATACTGAGATACGTATCTTGCTATTTTGCATTTTCCAGCATTTGTGTACCTCTGTGTGGAATCAAAGAGGTCAGATAACCTCAAGCATTTGCCTGCCAGATGGGTAACATTATCGCAGCGGTACGCTGGAGGAAACTCATTGGTACTATGACTGACTGAGTTGGAAAGGAAAATGTTCCCCCAAAAAATTCTTAGTGGGCATAAAAACCAGCAAGTAGTAAGTTTTTCCATGTTCGTTAGCATTCTCGGCCAAGTCCAAGATACTGGCAAAATATTTCTAAAATTAGTTTTGTATTTAAAATAACTTAGAGTACTCTCTGTGCTTTAAAGTAATATAGACCAAGAATGTGTGTGCAGGTGCATATTAACACATGGAGAAGAATTCCATAACATAAAGAAAAATCAGTCCAGCTTGAGGGCGAAATCCTGCTGTGTCAATCTGGCGGGCCTGTTCCTCACTGTAAAAACAAAATATATGCATTTTAAAATAACCAAGGTGCAGTACAGTCGGGGGTGTGTTGCTCAGTGAAGATACAGTGAGATCTGTCTGAACGACCTCCGACAACAGACACACCAGCTGGAATTCAGGCTGTTTCTGACATAAGCTCTGGCCTAAGTTTTTCTTCTTTTTTTTTTTTCTCTTTTTTTCCCCTCCAGAAACGTAATGGCAATGTGGGCAAGACTGTCTTTGAGTACAGAACGCAGAACGTGGCACGCTTACCTATCATAGATATTGCACCAGTGGACATTGGCAGTACCGACCAGGAATTTGGAATTGAAATTGGGCCAGTTTGCTTTGTGTAAGAGGAAGGGGGGAAATTAACGCACTACCCAGCAACAGCAGCAATTAAACACATGAACTTAGACTGATTGAAGTTAATCCTGAGACTCTTGAAGTAATGGCTGATATTGGATCAGCATTGTATATACGGTTCTTTTTAAATGCCCAGCCTCCTTTTGAATATTTATTTTACTTACAAACCTTCCATCTTAAATGATTGAAACCAACTTTTTAGTACGACAGTACAATTTTAAGAGGATCGATGACCACCTTTTAAAAGTAATATGAATCTTTTTCCTCGCTTTTGTTTCAAATTATTTTGAAATTTACAGGTACTCAAAACAGATAGTTTTAATGTGGGACTACGTAAACCTCTAAGGATTGTTTCTTTTGCTTGGATGCATACTGAATAACAGAAAAGTAGAGCACTTCTGTGAACCGTTGGCTATACTTCAATCATACCTACTTCCTTAACCCCAGTTTGTCTTCCTGTGGTTGCCAGTATGATAATCATTAACAGAAATCTATGTCTTTTGTAGAAGAAAATCTCTTCAGACAAGATCATCTTAATTTGGCATTTGTCTTTCCTGCACTTTCCTATGTAATAGTCTGCTCAGAAGAGTATTCCATAGCCACGATTAATTTACTACTGGGGTAAATACGAGTTTTCAGTAGGGGTGTCCCATATCTTAAATTTTAAGGCCAGACTTCACTTCTTGCAATGTATCTGTGTAATTCTATTAAATTATCCTTAATCTTCAAAATACATCTTAAACCCAATACTTGTTGATTTTCCAATACTTGCCCATCTAAGAAGCCATTACATATCAAATTATACAGATGTCTTTATATATGGTGCCAATTTATGTATGTTGCAAATCATTCACATGTATACCAGCCCGATTGCTAATAAAGAAAAAGAAAGTTTAGAAATTCATTGTTTTTACCTGACATCCAGACATGCATCACCAGTAATTTGACGTATCGGCCTTGACTTGTCAAGGCAAGAAAGTTCCATCGTTTCTTAGCATGAGCTACCTCATCTCTGGAAGTTGGGATGCATTTAATATTCCTGTTTTTATTTTAGCTGTTAAAAGGTGCTATGCTTCTGTTGTTATTTCGAGAAAGGAGATAGACAGGGCAAAATCAACAAAAAAGTGATGGTGCTAAATGACTCTGTAGAAGGCTGATGAAATAAAGATGCCTACTGTCAATGTCATTTTCAGAGCTTAGCTGTTAGGCTTACGGTGTTTGAGAGAACAATGTTACAGTGCATTTATTTGTTGGTCATACAGTATATAGAATGTTTTGTACCACTGGCATGCTTTATTTTGTAAAGTATGTGGGTACAAACTTACTTAGTTTTTTGTTTCTTTATTGCATCTGTGCTCTCCACAGTTTTTGTTTGTTCCTTTAAAAAAAAATAAACAGCTGGGGCCATCCCTAAAGAAAGTCATGCACATAGCTTTATTCATGTATCTTTGCAAAGCATTTAATTAAATACATGCTTCTCGCTATGTAAGTGGTTTCCTTTTTGTAGAATTCCTTCCAGTCGTGTCCCATATCAATTCATTTCAGCAAATTAAAGATAGAAGTATTTAACTTTTGTTATGTTGCTCTTGGAATAACTCATTTGCAATGTATTCTCCTGAAGTATTTTATGCATAGGAATATTAAGGTATTTTGAATAACACCCTCTTTGTGCCAGTTTTTACAAGACAGGTGTCAATCTGTATGGAGTAATCTCCACCAGCAGTCCTATTAAAGCTACCTAACTAGTATTGTTTGAGACTGCAGAGAAAGAGAATTTTTATTCAAGGCTAAATAAAATGTGATTTAGCCAATTCCCAGTGTCAATGTAAGCTATTGCTGATAGAAAACAGTTTCTGGGCAAGCCATAAAGTTGCATTGTAGCAAGGCAGGCAAGAATTTGCATTCCTTTCCCCCTTCTGAAAGAGTAGGAGCTTTGCAGTTTTCCAGGTTGTCCATATGCATGTGTAGAGCCTGGGAACAGGGAAGTTGACCGGTTCACACTGATGTTACCTGTTTGCTTGTAGTACCCAAGCAGGAGCTCCATGATTTGTTTTTTACTAGCATGAAATAAATGTTATAAATACATGTCGGGAGTTAGCTTCTATCACATTGGATCCTTGAGAGGTGTTAGATAACGTTAATTTCACTGAATAATCTGAGGTGTAATGGCTTGCTCCAACATGTTCATGCAAAGGTAGCTATCCAGTGGGCGTGTTCATACCTCTACAGGACGTTTATCCAGATGCACAAAATAACATTTCACGCATAGATGCATGTTTGAAAGTTATTTTTAATATCTGATTTTCATCAGCAGAGTATTATAATCCATTATTAGTATAAAAGTTTTGTGAGGTTGTTGAAGTAGAGTATTTCATTATGAAGAGTACTCTTTTTTTTTTTTTTTCCTTTTCAAGTCTCTCTTTGCATCTGTCTCTCTATGTGAAGCGTGCAGTTTTTCCTCAGCTGGGTGCCTTGAGCACTGCAGAAGAGCTTTAACTAGAAAGCACTCTAATCTGTAAAAACCATCGCTGGAGAACCACTGAACTGAAGTCTCACTTGAAGTGTGAGCTCTCAGGACATACAAGTAGTTAACTGAGGAGTCTTTGTCATACAAGTGGTTGGACATGTTTGGGTTTTTTTCTTCTCTTGACTGTTTATAGGATACACGCATATTACATGTCTTTCCCTGTTTAAGCATTCTTCAAAGCATTGTAGAATCTTTTTAAGCACTTCAAAATAAAATGGGGGGTGAGTGGGAGGAATTTCACTGCTTTAAACTGTTTTGCCTCTTACCCGGGCAATGGGGCGTAGCCTCGCGTAAATAGAGTTTCAATTTCATGAACCTAGAATGAATGAGGTGATAATTTGCAAAAGTTTGATTAATCTATAAAGTAGCATTCAGTAAGTATCAGCTATTTATCACTGTATAGCGATTACGATAATATAATATCAGAGATTGCATTTAAATCAAAATCGAGTTATAAGAGTTGGTTATTGCTATTGTTTTCCATAGCTGACCTGTCCTCAGTGAGAAATGAACCCCAGGACTGCCAGTAGCTGACACCTTCTCTCTTGGTCTCTCAAAACCAGTAATGCAATAGTTGTGTGGCAGCTATTCATTAAAATCTCATCTAGAAGGTAAAATTCTGATATTCACTACTCATAATTTGGCACTTACTCTATGTTTACATTGATGGTGGAGTTGATGATGCAGTAGTTCTGGAGAAAGACATTTGGATTCTTTTGTAATTTGATTTTAACCAGCTTACCTGGATTTGCAATCTTTGTTCCGAGGGTGCTTGTGTCATCACTTCTATTCCCGTGCCACTGAACTCTAGACATAAAATACCAGATTTTGTATGTAATTATACAGTTGATTACAGACTTGGGACCAAGAAGAGCTCCCCTAGTGTGAGGGACCCTATCAGTGGAATGGGAGCCTGTCCTTCCTAATATCTCACCGAGAACAAAAAAGCAGCCAAGTATGAAAAGAAACAGCTTTGGTCTACAGGGCCAATCTCTCTATATAGAGATTTTTTTAACACTGATTTTTCACATTCATGGCCTAGATTTTCCACAGCTGCACAGTAGAGTCCATTTTGGATTTCTTTGCTCAAGCAGTGTCTCCTAACGCTGACCGCTTTTTACAGTGTATTTTACTTCTAGCTTTCTTTCGACTTAAAACTTTGAAAGAATACGTTCTTGCTGAGGGAAGAAAGAATGTGAAAGATCTTTCAGATAAGCTCAGTGGGCCTTGGAGGTTATGATAAATGTTCCCAGAAATGAAAGAGTTTGTTTATCTGCAAGCACAGCAAACAAAGAATTGAGATTCAAGTATTGTTGAGCATATTCGTATTTTGCTATTGGCTAGTTTTAATGATCTTTCACCTTTATATTAAATATATATTATATTTTGTAAGGAGTTTAATAATGCCTTCTCCAAGGCTTTTTCTGTTATTACTGCTTGATATTTTATCTTAATTTATTTTGAGCAGAACGAGATACAGAGGATAGAATTGATCTTGGTGCTACAGTTTATTGGATACATCAGCTAACGTGCCCAGTGGTTTAACTGGGCAGTATTAATATTGTTTTGTAGACTGTATAATTAAGTAATATTAATATTGTAAAAAGAAGAATGTTCTTGCTCCTTCAGTATTTCCTTCAGGACCCCAGCTCTGAGTGCATATGTCAAATGTGATCATAGCCTCCCTTCTACATCAGAGCCTTCTTGCAGAGAGCTCTCTATACTGAGCGCTTCTGGATGCTTAAAATGTAAGGCAAACAAGGAATTGATGGTTTAAGTCCTCCCTGAACAAGAGGGTTTTTCCAAATCATGGTTTGGGATTTATGCACTTCAGTTTTAGAGTAACTATGAAGAAGAGTTTATATTTTGGATGAATGTTTGCTCTTTTGAAAGGGCTGGTGGAGCAGCTTATGATGCATCTCCTCCAGCCTCCTTCCATGCAGACCTTTTCCTTTCTCTTCTGTTTTGGTACTCCCCTCTAGCTTGGTGGTTATTCTGTTGTCTCTGGGTGGATGAGAGTGTAAATTCAAATCTCATGGCCTCTCCCTCCCAAACTCCTTCCTTTCCTATCTGTTAGCTTCCTTTTAGCTATCATAAATATTTGACTCTAAGTTTTTAATACTAAAAAGATTCTGTAGAGTACCAGGAGTACTACGTGCAGTACAAGAATGCATCAAGCAACACAGAAACGCAAGAATGAAATTGTCATGGCATTACAGCTAGAAACAACACAAAGAAAGTCTACAAAGCATAGCAAGTAAATAGAAGAGAGTGAGGAAGCCTTTTACTCTATGAAGGCAAGTAAAAAGTCTAAAAATGGATTAAAAGCAAAAAGTATTATTTTTCTGTTGGATAAGGGCCGCTAGGTTTCTTTTATCTCCTGTAGCTGCCTGAGATTGAGCAAAGTAGTTATTAGACCGGTAAACACTCTCATAATCTAAGGAATTTTTAAAAATTATTATTATTTTCAGGAATTAAGTCTATACTAAAGGTTTAATACTCAATGGGCAGTTGGTCATGCTGAGAGAGGCTATATTTATAAAACATTTTAGCAGAACTACATGGAAGTGTAGAAGTGGCAATGGTAGTAAAGAAAGGTTTCCAGCAAGTAGGCAAATACCATAGAGAAAACAAGGTAAAAATGATAATATTAGACAATGATGGTGGTATTATTAAAAACTGTCATGAGAAAATATAAGACAAAATCAACAGTTCAACAGCTGAAATAGAAATGCTAAAGAAACTGCAGACCCATTGACCCAGTTGGCGAAACTGTGTGTTTATGCTACAGACACAAAAAAAAAAAAAATCATTTTGATTCTGGATTATTATGTCCAGTGGATCGCAATGTGCTTGCTAGGAGTTTAAAGATTGTATTGAAGTGTGTGATTTCAAGCATATTCTGCGGAGTTCAGAATATCCATAAAGGAGCCTGCCTGAGGAAAGTTGCTAGATGGGTACCAGAGAGTTAGATTCAGTTTCTTAAAAGGTAGAATGTTTTTAGGCATCCTGTTTTACCTGCTATCATGCTATTCAGAAATATGACGTGTTAAAATCGGAGATAATGCTTTTTAATTTATCAGATAGAGATCGTGAGAACCTTCAAGAAGGATACAATGAATTATGATTAAGAATAACCTACGTTAAAACCTGACTGCCCCAAGAGAGCATATGTATGGTCACAAATGGAAAACTAGGTACAAAAGACCAGTTTCTAGTGAAGTCGTTGCTTATGAAGTGATTATTGGCCAATATCTTTAGGGATGGTAAAAGAAACAATCTGCTTTTTCCACAAGCCCAGACCAGTAGAGCCAATGGATTGGACAGTGTGGAGGAGGACCTGAGCAGAGTGATGCAAGGATTAAAACTGAAATGCT